CAAGGAGAGGTCTGAGCTCCGCGTCCTTTCTGTCATGTTCTAGCTTGCATCTTGCTACACTGTCATTTGCTACTGTTCTGACCTCAATGGTTTGTAGAAATAAGAGCCCCAGGTGCGTCTCCTCTGTGAACATCGCTCTCTCAGAGAAAAAGAAACCGAGACTGTGGATGGTCGCCTGGCGTTTCTTACCTTCAAAGCGGCCCATGTCTCGTCTCTTCTTTCATTCCTGCAGAAGCTCTGTCCACAGCAGGGGTGCTTCCATTTTACAGACGAGAAAACTGACACACAGGCTCAGAGCCCACCCTGAGGTCACCTTCCTTCCTCTCGCGAGGATTTCCTGGGGCCTTTCGCAGGGTTTTTTTTATTTACCGTCATCATGTTAACAAACACAGCCCTGGACAGCGCCCAGCGCCTGCCCCGTCTCTGCTCCCGTTCCGGTAGTAAGAAATCCGCGCTATAAAGATGGCTGTCCTTTATCGGCTGCCTCTGTGGACCAGGACTTGTGCGAGGGGTCTTTCACGTTTTACTTCCTCTAACCCCTCCAGCCGCCTTTCAGACCCAGCACTGAGATGCCCATCTTGCAGATGAGGTGTTTGAGGTCACATGGTCCCAAACCGCCACTGTACATGGAGGCGGCAGCTCCAGCCTTGCGTGCTAACTCGGATGCTTCATGTTTCCTGCCTGGCTAGAGTCCTCTGGGGCAGTGATCATGGAGGACAACGTCCACGTTCCCGGTGGGGTGTGCGCGCACCCCGAATCCATGGCGGCTGCCCCCCAGCCTGCACGCCAGCTCCCCGCTTCTCCGTCTCAGCCACACGAGGTGCTGCTGCCCCTGCTCATTCACAGCATTCCTCAGGACCTCGCCCCTCTGCACCCCTCTTTGGAATGCACACCCCCCCACACCTGACTGGTGACCTCCCACCCGTCCATCTGCCACGGGAAAGGCCAAACGCCATGCTCTCTGGGCACCCTCTGCCCACCCGCCATCTCCCACGGCTGTTTCAGCATCCCTTTGCCCAGGGCACGCTGGGTGGCTCTCGCCGGCATCGCAGGCACCTCGTGCAGCCCATGGATCCGCTCAGTGTGGGCTGGCAGGGAGCGATGCTGCTGCAGGAGAGCGAGAGAGCGTGGCCACACCAAGGGCCTCCGATCCCTCCGTTTTTAACACAGGAGGTCAGCCGAGCTAAACAGCATAGTGGCCAGTGTTAACCACAGGCCAGCAGTTCCTCGAGGGATCACGTCCTTGTCAGTGCTTAGATGAGGACAGGTGGAGGCAAGGAAGCCCTTCCCAGGCAGTCTAGCCTCAGTAAAACATGGCATTCCAGATCATTCTATCCACATGTATTTCCTGCGTCCCTACTAGGGGGATGTAGCGGAGTCCAGTGGTTAAAAGTATCTAACATACTTCACATCGGGCCAGTTCGAGTTTGATACTGATTCTCCCCTGAATTCACCAAGTGGCCTTGAAGTTCCCTGAGCCTCGGAGTCCTCGCCTGCAAAATGGGCGAACCACATGGGGATTGTGCAGGGCCGAAGTGAGACTAAGCAAAACCATGCTGCCTGCCGGATGCCACGCCTCGGCTCCTTTGAGGAGCGCGTGCTCTCTGCTGGGCACTGGGATCCCAGGCTGGACAAGACGGCAGAGCACCTAATTCACTATTACTGGGGGAGACAGGTAATGAGCAAGCAAATATGCAGGCCGATAATGAACAAGTTGGTCATTGGAGAATGAGAGGTCCAGCAAGTGGTGTAGTGTTTAAGGCACTGGACTCCCACATGGCCGACCGCAGTTCGAGTCCTGGACCAGGTGACTTGGAATTCAAGCCAGGTGTGTATGTGTGTGTGTGCCCAAAATCCCAAGAAGAGAAGGGATTTTGGTGTGGCCTTCCCTCCAGCGGGTGCTTTCTCACTTTCTGTCTCTCTCTCTGTCTCTCTGTGTCTCTGGTGAGCACACACATCCTATAGGAAAAAAACAACTCTAAAAAAATTTTTAAAAAAATAGAATGAGACATGGTGTAAGAAAATAAAATCGGTGGTCAACTGAGGACGGCAGGAAAGGAAGTGGGGTGGAGCGGACAGGAGCGGGCTCTGAGGAGGTGACTCAGACAAGCAGTCGATGACCATACAGGGGGAGTCGTGAGTGCAAAGGCCCGGTGGTGGGCACACTCCATGTCGTATTGGTGGTATCTGTCGTGACTGTCGTGTTGTCACACGTGGCTGTGCCCTCAAAGTCTGCCTCCTGCCCACCCCTGGGTACACGCCCACTGAACTGAGTGCCGATCGTAATGAGATGAGATCTCAGAGGAGGGATGCTCGAGAGGGCCGGGGTGGCGGCAGAGCAGGGAGGAAGGGGGAGTATGTGCTGAGAGGAGGCAGCGTCCCCCAGGAAGGGGATTTGCTTGAAGAGCCTGAGATCACCGGGACCTTCTAACCCTGCCCGGGCCAGAGCTGGCTTTGGGGAAGGCCAGGCGGGGAGGCCTGGGCACGGTGCAGATGACCTCAGCGCTGGCGGACAAGGTGGCCCCAGCAGGGCGGGCAGGTTGTCAGCTTGAGAGCGTGTGCTCTCCACGCAAGACGTACGGCCCTGGGCAGGAGTCCAGCCGTGTGAGTCATGACCAGATGTACATCTTGTCAGGGAGGACTATGGCCACGGAGAGGCTGGCCACCGTTTCTGGGAAACGTCCTGAGGGTGGGGCAGGGTCTCCCTCAAGAGGATGTGCTGGGGAGGGCCGACGAGCCTCTGGCTGTGCCTCCCAGGTCCGTGGCCGAGCCTTCTGGGGCCCCTGGGCAGGGTGAGGTGCCTCTGGTGGCTCTTTCTCCCTTTTCTCAGTGTGTCTGGACCCCCTGGCCTTCTGTGGAGGCCCACAGACCCATGAGGAGTGTGAGTGGGCAAAGGGCTGCCCTAGGATCTGAGAACCTGAGTCTTCAGGCCACCGAATTGGATTCACATCCAAGGGCTGCCACAGCGCAGTCCCCCTGGCCTCAGTGGCCTGCTGCAGAGTGACGGGTAAACCAGTAGCTCTCCAAGTTCCCATAGGCTCAAACACTCGGGCACCTCTGCACTTCCCTCCTATGGTCAGAGAAACCGAGGCCCAAGGGCAGGACACACCCAGAGCCACCCCTGCAGGAGGAGGGCCTGGAGCACCTGCTCTGGCCAGATCTGCATCCTTCCACCTTGTGCCCATGCCCTACCTTCTGATCCCTGGGACCCCCTACCCGCCTGCCTGTGCTCCTCATTGCCAGACATGGAGGTTCAAGCACCCTAAGAATGACATTCCCACCTGGGGGTTAGCAGTCCCCATGGGAACTCCCAGGGGCGTTGGCCACCAGGTGCACGCTCTGGCTTTAAGCAGACAAGGCCTCCGCCAGGCCCTTCCTGCTTGAATTCTGTACAGCCTCCAATCTCTCTGAAGTAGCACCTCCTGGGGCAGCTTCCAGACCACTCCACGCAGTCCTCTCGGCAAGCTCTTGCCATCATGCCACTTTATAAACCTGCTGTGGGCGTCTTTGCTTACTTTCATTATGATCATTTGTGCAGGCATCGTAGCTCCTCTACAGCATTGCCAACTCATTAAAAGCAGCAACCAAATTGCCCCCATTTTTCTCACACCCGCCACCAGCCTCCCCTTCCCCACCTGACACAGTGATGGAATTCTAAGTGTTGGGCAGAATGGAGTTTTCTTTATTCTATGCAACAGCCTAGCCTTTTAGAATGAATGCTTGAGTATAGGAGAGCATTCACTCTGGGATCAGCCCTCTAGCCCTAGCCACTCCCTATAGCCGAATGGTTAAGAGAGCCAGATCCCACATGGCTGACCTCAGTTCAAATCCTGGCCCTGACAACTTGAAGAAAACACTCCAGGCATGTGTGTGCATGCTCTGAATCTCAACAGGAAGGAAAAACGGGAAGAAGGGATTGCAGCATGACCACACCCCACTAAGGGTGCTTTCTCCTTTCGCATCTCCCTCCTGTGAGCACATGCACCCTCTGGCAATGGGGGGGGATCATTCCAGAGCTGGTCTGGACTGAGTCTCAGCGCCCCCTTCCACTGCCAGCACCCCCCCCCATACTCAGTGGCGCTTTGGGCAAGTGACGTGACACCTGGGTGCCCTGCCTTCCCCTTGTACGGGAGGGATAATCATAGCACAGACCCCACAGGGTGGCTGTGAGGATTCAATGAGGCCTGCTTGTAAAGTATTCGATCTAGTGGTCGGTGTGGACTTGGCGCCACAGGGGAAGTTGTTACGTTTTGATGATCCTGTATGCACCGTTTTATTTGGTGTTTCAAAGCAGAATTGTTACCACCTCTCAGCCTTTAGCTAGTTGCCAGATTCTCTACAGTTCTTGCATCCTCCCTAGGCCCCGTAGGCCCCAGCCCTCCCTGGCGCACTGCCTGCTGGGTGCCATGTGCCCCCAGCTACAGTCTGCCAGGAGGCAGGGAAGGACGGAGCCCCAGTCTCTGGCTTGACTGCTCACCAGTTCGGGGCTAACAGCTGCAATGAATGCTCTTACTCAATTCATGTGACTCGACAGATTTGGAATGTGTCAGGGAGAGAGTTTTTCCAGCAATGAGTCAGTACATTTATGCTCTCACACACACACCAAAAAGAAAAGAGTTTGGTGAGAATCATTTATGAGTACAAGGGAACACCTCTGAAAATTATATTTTGACCCTGAAGATAAGTAATACTTGAGACATTTAATAAAAGGTTCAAAACAAGATATAACTGGGAGAAAACTCAGCCAGCTGCCTTTGGTATTCTCAGCCGCCACGTTGTCTAGGAAGATCCGATTTACATGGGTTTATTTAGCACCTCCTGGATATCCAGATTTGTGCTAAATGTGGCCAGGAAATGAGGGATGTGTAAAAGAGAAGTGGAACCGGCATTTATTGAGCACCTATGACGTACCAGATAGTCGTGAGGGGGAACGTATCCCAAGTTCAAGAGACAGTGTGGGGAGACGGAACAATTGTGGGTGGGCGGGTCTGGGTTCAAAGCCCGGCACCTCTCCTTCCTAGTCTGTCTAATCTCTGTCCTATTCCACTTTTGAGATCACAAAACCAAGGCTCAGAAAAACAAACTGTTTTGTTTAGGAAACAGGTAAACACTGGCTTCTACACTGGGCCTGTCAGTCTCCCACCAAGAACAGCACAGACCACCTCCTTGTGCTGAAGAAATTACAGGAGGACCGGCCCTGCAGCAAGACAGAGGGAGCTAGACCCCACATGGCCAACTGCAGTTTGCAGCCTAGCCTGGCTGGAATACATTCCAGACGCATGTGCGTGCGGGGCTCACCCCCAAATCCTGACAGGATGGAGAAATGGCGGGGGAAGGACGTGTTATGTCCACACCCCACTGGGCAATGCTGTCTTTCTCTGTGTGGTGAGTGCAATGAAAGAGAGAGAGGGGGGAAAGAAAAGAAAAGAAAAAAAAGAAAAGAAAGAAAAGAAAAAAGAAGGAAGGGAAGGAAGGAAGGGAGAGGAAGAGAGATAGAAAAGAAAGAAGAAAGAATGAGAGAAAGAAAAGAGAAGAGAATCGAAAGAAAGAGAAAGGAAGGAAGAAAGGAAGGAAGGAAGGAAGGAAGGAAGGGAGGGAGGAAGGAAGGGAGGGAGGGAGGGAAGGGAGGAAGGGAGGAAGGAAGGGAGGAAGGGAGGAAGGAAGGGAGGGAGGGAGGGAAGGAAGGGAGGAGGGAGGAAGGAAGGGAGGGAGGGAGGGAAGGAAGGGAGGAAGGAAGGGAGGAAGGAAGGAAGGGAGGGAGAGAGGGAGGAAGGGAGGAAGGGAGGAAGGAAAAGGCAGGGAGGAGGAAGAAGGAAGAAAAAGGAAGGGAGAAGGGAAAAGACGCCACAGGGACAGGGGTGCAGTAGGAAAACACCATACCCTGCCAGGCTGACCCACATGGGAAAGTTCTGGGTTCATGTTCAAAGACCTCCCTGAGGATGCCAGGCCCAGAGATGCTTCTGATTTAAGGCGGGCTGAAGCAGGGGGCAGACTGCAGTGTTGAGACCCTGTTGGGGGTGCTTCTCTCTTAACTCTTGGAGGAAATAAATAAATAATACAAAGACACTGCGGTTACATATGTCCCTGGGTGACCACATCCGAGAGGGAGCGGACGTGCCCGTTCCTGGAGGTGATGTCTGCACGTCTGCCATGCCTACCTACTGAGGCTTTCTTGGGGACCAGTATCTTCAGCCACCTTCTGTCACTTGCCTTTGGTTCCCGCCTGGTGGGCATCGTGGAGACCCTGGGTCTCATCCAGGTAGATCCTCTCTGTGCTGCTGTTTAGCTTAAAGAAAGGAACCCCTGCCTGCCCAGAGCGTTTGGGGCTCGTGTTCCAAGCTCACTTGGGTCTCTTTGAGAGGGTTCATTTTCACAGATCCCCGATCTCCAGGGAGCTGTGTCTTTCTCTCAGAAACAAGAGCTGTAATCCAAGGTGTAGTCATCACCCTCCCATCTGCCAGCAGCCACGCTGGAGCCAGGGCTCCCCAAGGCCTGACAGGAGGAGGTGCAGGCCAGATGCCCGGGGAATTTTTCTCCGCACGAATCAGATTGCCCTGTGGTTGCCCTGGGTACAGGCTGAAGGTGCATCTCGGATTGCTGGGGACTGCAGAGGGCCCAGGGGTGAACAGGACTCATCTCGCCATCCAACAAGCACAGGGCCAGCAGGTGGCGCACAGGTTTGGGTGGCTGAATCCCACATGGCCGACTGCACAATTCGAGTCCTGGACCCAGAGGCTTGAAAAACAAAACATGCTGAGTGTGTGTGCATGTGTGCCCCAAATCCCAAGAGGAGAATGGAGGAGAGGCGGCTACAGTGGACCTATCCTCTCTGGGGATGATTTCTCTCTCCCTCTCCCTCTCTCTCTCTTTCTCTCTGGCAAAAGCACACCCTATAGCAAAAAAAAACAAGGACTGTTCAGGGCCACCATGTGCCCAGACCTGCAGACACAGGGTCTGCCTCCACGGTGGCTTTCCATTGTCTGTGGTGGAGCGGTGGAGAGATCACTTCTAGGAAGACCTCGGTTTCCTGGAAGATCTGGTCCTGCCCTTTCCCTAGCATGCAGACTTAGCCACTCTGGCTTCTAGGCTCTGGTGTCCACCAGGGCCTGTGTACTCCCTTCCCACTTACCCAGCAATTCCTCTCCCTGCCTGGTTGCCGCCCCGGGCGATCGGGCCCACATCTGTCAGCCACGTCCTCGTGTGGCTCCCGGCCACCCCGCGCCACTGTGCTGTGCTTCCCTCGGCACAGCCATGGCACTGAAGCCTGTGTCTCTAACCCCTGGGTAAGGCCACGGCCTGCCTTATCTCCCCACGCCTGGCTCTGAGTCAGCGCCTCCTAAGAACTTGCTGGAAGAGCGAAGACACTGCAGGGAGCAAAATAAACACTGCCCTGCCCAGTGCTGGACGCATCTGCCCACAACGTCGCTTGCACTTGACAATTCTGAGATAGAATCACTTTGAAACAAATCACAATCAAGCCTAGAGGAGACTTCAGTATTCTCATATGTTCAAGAAGTCAAGAGCCTGTCAGTGGCCTGGAGGTTAAGTGGGATCACACGTGGCCAGTTGCGTGGTTCAAATCCCAGATTTGTGACTTAGAAAACACGCCGGGCACCTGTGCTTGTGCGCCCAAGCTCCCAAGGAGAGACTGGAGGAGAAGGGATTGCAGCACGGCCATATCTCTAGTGGGAGCTCTCTCTCTCTCTCTCTCTCTCTCTCTTTCTGATGAACACATTCTCCTTACAGCAAAAATTACAAAAATAAAGACAGAAGTTGAGCTGCACCCACACACTGCGGTGGACCTGAACTCCACCTCCTCTGCACACTGAGGGCATCCTAACTGAAGGGTAGGCTGGGGCTGGTGGGCGGGATGGTTCAACCTCAGTCATAGAGTCCAAGGTGAAGAGCAGTGTGGGGGAAATGGCAAGACGCTCCGGCAGGCCTGAGGCCAAACCCCAGTGCTAGGCTGCGCTCTGACTCAGGGCAGCTTGCTCCATCTCTCTGGGGTTCAGGGGTGCCGTCTGAAGACGACTCACTGGCCAACCCTGTGCTTTGTTACTAAGCTGCATGACTTGTGAGTGATCTACTGCAACCTCCTTATTCCCAACACCGTGGGTGACGGGGCAGTGTTGTAGTCAAGGATAAACAGGGAGAACAGGAAATTCAGTGAGGCTCCCCAGCTCCAAAAGCAACCCCTGTGCAACCCCAGCCAAGTGACTCTGCTGCGCTGTGCTCAGTTGCGACCCCTTGGGTGAAGGTAACGGCAGGTATTGTCGATGATAAGAGCAGCGGACACACCTGCTTACCCAGTCCCGAGCCCTGCGCCCTGCGCATGTACTGCCCCCCTCAATCCTGCAGGGTGAGGCAGTGTTAATTAGGGGAAGAGGAGGGGACAGCACTGGAAGCAGAGGACTAGCACAGTGTAGCCACGTGGCAGATGGCAGCATGGTGGGCTTAGGCAACTGAGAAGCAGCCAGTGAGCTGGGAACACCATGGTGGTGGGGGGGGTGCAGGTGCTGGACTCTGCAGGGCCACAGGGCCACGAATGAAGACTGTGGTCTTTATCCTGAGACAAGTGAGGAGTCTATTAGCGGCTTTCCCATACCACCCCTTTTTTTGTTTGCTGTTTTGTTTTGGTTTTGTTTTTGCTGTAGGGCATGTGCCCTATAGCAGAGAGAGAGAGAGGCAGACTGAGAGAGAGAAAGGGAAAAGGCACAATCACCCCCAGGGGGAGGGCCACATCATAATCCCCTCTCCTCCATTCTCCTCTCAGGACTTTGGGCGCACACGCACATGTACTCGGTGTGACTTTTTTAAGCAGCCAGGTCCAGGATTTGAACTGTGAAGTCAGCCATATGGGATTCAGCGCTTAACCTCTATCCTACCAGCTCTGTACCACCCTTTTGTCCATGCTAGGGGCACTTACCCACCGCTCTCCTCCTAGCCAGACCCCAGTAGGCCACAGAGTGGTCCTGGTACCCTGTGACAAAGCACGTGTGCATATGGTAGGCTTAGGGGACTGAGAAGGAGCCAGTAAGCCGGGAATGCAGTAGAC